TTTTCAATAAGTCTTTGAGGTTTCTTGATGACTCTTCCAGACGCAGTGGTCATGGGTGTCTGCTGTCCACCATCAGGTACCACTGAAAGCTTTGGTRATTCTGTCGTAGGTCTGTCTAATGGTGTGGAGCTCTTGATCCTCTTGATCCGGAATAGCCKGTGTAACTAAAGGAGTTGGGCTCATCGGTTGATCCTTAGGTGTTGCAATGATTTGACGTCGGTTTCGTCTGTAGACACGCCCACGTTCATCTCCTACTAAGTAAGACCGGGGCAACACTTTAGCTTTCCTCCACTCAGTCTCTCGATTAGGACGGATTCGCACCTTGTCCCCAACTTGTAGTRGAGGCAGGTCACGACTATGACCATCGTAATAACCTCTTGAAACACTCTGACGGTGTTTCAATGTTTTTACTACCTGATTTGGTTCCACAGGCTGGGGCAGTAGCAAACGTCGGTGAGTCGGCAGTTGGGTGCGAGTTCTTCTACTCATTAGCAGCTGAGCTGGTGAAACACCCAGGTCATCAAAGGGTGTGTTCCTGTATTTGAGCAATCCTTCAAAAGGATCTTTATGGTCAGCAGCCGCTTTCTTTAAAATCCTTTTTGCAGTCTGTACAGCTTTCTCGGCGGCTCCATTGGATTATGGATACTCTGGAGAGSTTGTGGTGTGACGGAATCCCCATTCGTCGGCAAATCTTTTAAATTCATGAGAATTGTTAAAKAGRTTTCTCGTGTTGCTAAACTGCGAACCATTGTCACTCAACACTTCTGCTGGGATGCCAAACCTGGCAAAGATSTTCTTTAAATTATTGATCACGCAACTGGCAGTCGTTTGGCTTAACAGCTCTATCTCAAAGTACTTTGAATAGAAATCTGTCACCAGTAAATAGGAATGACCACCATATTCGAAGATATCAGTGCTGACCACTTGCCATGGTAATCTCATGGGGATGTAGGATCTCTCTTGGTTGCTGATTGCGGAAGGCGTTACATATGGGGCATGAACTAACCTTGTCTTTTATCTGTGCAGTCATTGAAGGCCAGAAAACATACTCTCTTGCAAAACTGAGACTTTTGTTCTCACCCATGTGTGCACCATGAATTTCTTCTAACACCTTGGGCCTCAAACATCTCGGAACAACAATTCGGTTTGCTTTAAAAAGTCAACCATCTTCCACGCTAAGTTCTTCTCGGAAACTCCAGTATTCTCTTGCTAGCTCATCTAGTTGATGCTTTTCTGCTGGCCAACCTTTAACAACATACTCTATGACAACCTGAGAGGTAACATCACAGTTTGAAGCTTCTCTGAATTTCTGCAAGGTGCCACTATCTACACCAAGAGTGTCGATCAAGTTGATTCCAATCATCTCTTCTGGTTCACTAACTGGTTCAGTGTCACTAATAGGGGCTCTACTCAAGCAATCTGAGATGAATTGTTTCTTTCCTGGTACATAACGAACTTCAAGATCATACTTTGTCAGCTTTAACAACATCCTTTGCAATCTTGGGGGTGCTTCATTCAAAAGTTTTTTTAAAAATGGCTTCGAGTGGCTTGTGGTCAGTTTCTACTGCGACACGGCGTCCATAAACATACGTATGGAACTTGTCAGCTCCCCAGACAATTGCTAGTAATTCCCGTTCGATGTTAGCATATCTGGTCTCGGCAGGTGATAGTGTTTTCGAGCCAAACGCGACTGGTTTTTCATCCTGCATTATAACAGCACCTAGTCCCGTGCCACTGGCGTCAACATTGAGCACTGTCTCCTTTGTGTTGTCAAAGTAGGCTAACACTGGCGCAGAGGTAATGACTGATTTAAGCTTGTCAAATGCCTGTTGTTGTGGTGCTTCCCATACAAATGTTGAATCATTCCTAGTTAGCTGCGAAATTGGACCTTGAAGATCAGCTTTGTGCTCAATAAATTTATCCAGGTAGTTTACTGTTCCCAGGAAGCGTAGAATGCCATCTTTATCGGTTGGGGCGGGCATCTCGTTGATGGCTCGTACCTTTTCAGGATCTGRTTTTAAACCKTCAGYARTAAAGAGGTGTCYAACGTAGCTGACTTCTGGAACTCGAAGTTTRGCCTTGCGTGGATTGAACTTTAGGCCTATCTCACGACTCCTCTTCAATACTGTAATCATCTTATCATCGAGGTCTTGTTGATTTCTTCCATGTATCAAGAAGTCGTCTACAATAATTTCTACTGGTACTTCTGCGAAGAGTCGGTCCATCTCTCGTTGGTACAGCTCAGGCGCAGAACTAATGCCAAATGGAAGTCGAGTACACCTGTACCTTCTCCAGGGTGTATTGAACGTCAGTAACTTGGAGCTTTCTTCGTCTACAGGGAGCTGCCAAAAACCGCTACATAGCAGAAGACTAGATAGTGGTAAGAGGCGTGATGGTCTATCGGTTAGGGGACCGGACTCAGGTCTGAAAGGCCCGGGTTCGATTCCCAGACCGGCGATCACGTTGTGTCCTTGGGCAAGRTACTTTACTCTTTCACTGTCTCGTCTTCTCGGATAAGGACGTAAAGCCGAAGTTCCCGTCTGCTTTCACTCTAACCCTGTTATAAGGTGGACGTAAAAGAACCACTGAGGACGTAAACAAATCTCTGGCAGTGACCACCCTCAGTGACTTTCTTACTTACTTGAACTAACTCACACTCATGATTGTAAGCYGSKTGGCTGCTRWGCGCCTTAAATAGYRGTCMGACCATTACTTCGTTGTGAAAGCGCATTGAAACAGTGTGATAATGCGCTATATMAAACCACGTATTATTATTATTGTTATTATTATTATTGGTATATCAGATACCCTATTGTTTTGTGTACTTTCTTTTTTGTGTTTGTATGTTGTTTATTCTGTAATATAATAACCTATTTTACTTTGCCATCATCTGTGAACAAAGAATTCATTATTAGTATATTTTACATCCTTATCAAAAAACATTAGTCATCATGTTCATAATTAGAAGCAAATTGTTGATGCTGACTTTGACTTTATATAGCCATTATAGTTTGAACACCTGTAGTAATAGGGGCATATTCTATTTGCCTCTCCCTCAATCAGTTTTTTTAATAAATTTTCAAGACTGATCATATAATTTAATTTAGACTGTTTGGAGGAATTTACATGTTGTATAGTGTTTTATTACCTGCATGGTATAGTTTGAATTTCTACCACCTTTCTGACTGCCTCTGTGGAACGTCCTGTTTTGCATGTGGTTCTTCTTTTCCACAGTTTGGCAGTTGATGTGGTGAATTGTTCCAAACTTTTCCAAAAACTGAGGTACATGATAAACAAGCACTACAAAACAAGGTTAATYTAACATTTAAATATTAGCAAGTGATTATTATTATTTCAATTATTATTTAAAAGTGAAAACTGCATTGCTATAACAACTTATCAAATTAATTATTTCTTACCATGCATGTATGGAATAACATCCTGAAAGTAAAAGTATATATGTTAGTACCATAATAATTGTTTATTTTTAACTAATTTTAGTTTTCATTTCTCTCACAGGCATTAAACATGGTATTAAATACCCTGAAAGCAGATGATTTTTCCACCCACTTCTACAAAGAAGTGCTTCCAGTGGTGTAGTTATGAATGATACACATGGAGACTATRGAATTTAGTGGTCTATGAGATATAATACCATAGAGCAATTTCATCCTTATTTATTCAGAATCAATTCAGTAATTTTTAAGCCATACCTCATCAAAAGTGGCTTCGCGAAAAAGATATTGCCCATTGTCTCGCTGTTTCTTTAAAATTATTTGGTTCAAGGTAACACTCATCTCCAACATTTGCTTTTAGTGCTGCACATAGCACTTCAAATTCACCCCAAACATTTTGTAGCTTGACTACATCTAGTTCAGGAGTGTGGCTGGTTTGCAGTGATGATATCTTTATCAAAAACAATGAATTTACATGACAATCATTATAAGTCCATTTTYAAATTGATTGACTTTGTGCATTGTACGTTATGTGAACATTCTTTGAGAGTCAGTCCTTTCTTTGAAAAGAAAACTGAAATTAATCAGGGATTTTCAATTGCTTCAAAGACCAGTAACAAACAACAAGATTTTTCTTATCTAGCAGAAAACTAGAAAAAATGCAATTATTACCTCAAACTGGATATTGTGCKCTTGGCAATAGTGCTTTAAGTTGGCACGAAGAACATCTTTAGTGCCTGTTGTCCTGAGCTTGTGCCTTTGACACAAAAGCAAGAGCTGGTTTTTGCTTAAGCAGTCCAAACTGTTTGTAGAATTTTGAGTCATATTTGACAAGAAGTCAGAGATGTGAAGGTTCCTTATGACATGTTCAAGATCATCACCTGTATAGTGATTGATAATAAAACGATTAACATAAAATTCAGGGGAGTTTATGTGTATTAATGTCATAAATTCTAGGTGCAAGTATCTGAGTTTGTATGTAACCCTAAATTATTTTACAGCAAAAAATACATAAACATACAGTCCAGAGAGCTCCATTTTGTGGTTGACTTTCCGCCTTCTTCTTGGACATCATAGAATTCAAACCTGATTCCTGTATTTTCAAGGGAATTAAATAAATCATAAAACCAACCAGAAAAAAACAACATTGATATGCTAATTTTATGAAACAGAGATAGTTAAGGGCAGTTATTTTCATTATAGATATTACTAACAAATGAGTAGATTTTGACTAACCAATAGACCGAATAGACTTTTGCATCTCTTTTTTCTTTTTTTGTTGAATTGCCCAGCATGCAACCTATGAAAATATAGAATTATTTATTTTMATTATTATTTTATCTTATTTATAATAATTGAAAAGTAGTTAACTTTTCACATTTGACTAACCTGTTTGAGGAGTTTTCCTCTGATTCTCAGCATTAAATGGAGAGTATCTGGGACGACATATTCAAATTCTATGGGCACCAGCGGTGCATGCTTCACTCCCAGTTTCTCTCCATCTGTTTTCTTAGCTAGCTCACAGCATTTTGATAGTTCTTTGAACAAAGAACTCGGAGTAAAAGGCTCCGACTTCTCCGGACATGTTTTTTCTGTAAATGTACACTGAGCAAGCGTATTAAGGGCTAGAGAAGGCGGCCAAATTAATTTATTACACAAGAAACATTATTTTGGGCGGGAGACGAGAAAGATTCAACAAGAACGATTCGTTTCAAGTACTATGATTCCATGTTTGATGTTGAGAAACTGACCTGTTTTCTGGCATTTTATTTAAAGTGAATAAAGCTTTTCTCTCAAAATGAAACATATGCATCTTTGTAAGAAATAGCGAAAAAACATTACGTATATTTCAATGGTGCATGAGTTATGAATTCGAGTTGAAAACTTGCGCGCGAAGCTTTCCTTTCGTATTTTGGACGCCATTTTTTATTCAGGGAAAACTCTTTTTCCTTAAAAGGACKTAGGGAAGTTCTTAATATGGTATGTAGGGGCTTTCTCTGGCACTCTGAGACTGACGTGTGGCAGCCGAGGGGAGGAAGGTTGGGTTGATTATTCTTGCTAGGGGGGGTAGGGTGGTGATCGAAATAACATTGAAGATATTTCTTGGTTTTCAGCTGGATATCCATTTGAATAGGTATGTMAGTAGTAAAACTTATTATAACAATAATACTTCTATTTTTGTAATGTGATGTTTTGTGCGATTTGATGAGCACTTTGCCATGTGTTTTGTATTCTGACCAATCCAGCCGTTGGGTCTGAAAAAGCGTTGAAAAATTGTTATCATCCTCATTTGTGTCCAAGTATTCTCAATGCACATGAATGTAAATGCTCTTATTATTAGATAGTTACCCAGGCATAGTGTTTAACTAAAACTGACAACGCGTGGTCTCTAATTTAGTTTCTTTATTTGTACGAATTTATCATGATGTGATCCATAAGTTGTGTCAGCTTGACCCAAACATGGAGCCACGTTGGAGCCGTCATGCT